TTCATATCTGCTACTATCATATTTTGTTTTCAGTTTTGTTAAGTACTCCAAACCGTAGAGTAGCATGTCTAGAATGCGAGCTCTATATATCAGCAGCATGGTGCCGTTCACAACAGTTTCGTCTTTCCAGTATCATATAGCTATAAGTACTCTAAAGTAGAAATGAACGTAATGGATACTTACATGTTAGCCATTGACAGACGCTGTCCTTCTCTTCATCGCACACTGTGATAAACTCTGATGTGCATTTGTATAGGTAGCTTCGTTGTAAAGTGCTCAACTCGTCTCTCACTGCATGGTGTAATTGTTAACTATGCCGTTCAGTTACAAGAGAACCTTTTCAATTTTTTCTGATGATGTATACGATACGTTGTCCTGTGCGTTTGTTAGAGCTTGCTCCCAATTCTCTGAACATATAACATACGATTCTAGTTTTCCCTTGTTTTGATAAAATACCTTTCTTGGCAGAAGGCCGCTTAGCTGGTAATGAACGTTCTGTACCACTTTTACCCCGTAACTAGTGACCAGCCATGTTTTATTCACCACGATCTCTTAGATGCTGAATCATCGACAGGGACTAACCTGTCATCAATATCAACATCTTTATTGAAAGAGATATGTCAAATTCAGACACTGTACGATGAGTGCAGGGCTTAAACTGACGATTTGCGTAGCACAACAAGTGGATCATTATGTTTTTTCCAGATATTTCCCTGTTGACACGAAGAAAATAGTTCTAAACGACCACAGGTGCGTTGCTGCATTTTCAGCGCTGCCTAGAAAACAACGATTTCCATGGCTGGGTCCCCTGAGAAACTGTAATGAACCAAAAGTTGTACCGTTGTCCATAGGGCCGTAACCCACCGAGCGGATCCATCAATTCAAATGCTTTGAGCTTAGTCGTCATTCGTCATGTATCGCTGCCACCACTGCCCGATTAGATAACTTTATTATCCGTCGATAATGTAAAGCACTTTACACGACAAAAATCATACATCACTTCATAACCGGATTCGTCTCTTTCCTTATACATGTTATTCGAACGCTAGAGCCAATGGGGTTCACAATTGCCTGATGTTGTCATCAATTAAACCGACGGCTTGGAGAATACGGCTGGACTATACCATTTATCCCGCGGCGATTGACCCATGTGACATGTTACACCTGTCATAGGTTAGCGATGGTTATCGCTTCACAGTCAGTGTGCGCCTTCGATCATCTGAAGATGAAACTGTGAGAACTGATCACTGAGGGATGTCGTCCAACACCTGGATATAAGACAGGACCGAGCCTGATAACCCATCAATCAGGACCCACCTGTCAGCGTTTAGTGACAGCGATAGTCGGCTAAAATAAGCGGTTCGTCGCTACTGTACTACTCATGTCAATCAGTCGTAAATAGCACTTGCTGATTCGTTACTCGATGAATTGTTACTATATCGAATCCTTAGAAACTTCGCAGTTATCCATGCTAGAAAGCAGTTCGGCGGCACTCGTCGGCTATCGGTACAGTAGCTGTCTTTATGCGATGCAAGTAAATCAGAAAAACTAAAGAGAAACGAAGATCTTGACTTTCGTTGCCAGACTGATGCTTTTGTTTACACCCCAAGCGACATGCTAACATGACGACAAAGAAAAAAAGAATAAACATTCACTTGTTGAAAGCTAACACACCTGTTGCTACATGATCGCCAAGCACTTGGACTGAAGCCAAAATGAACATCAGTGATTGCGATTCACTTAATAGACACGTTCTCCCTCGACTTTAAAACTGCATTTGACTCAATATATTGTCAACGATGTGCAAGATCTTAAAATGCAACAGGATATCTAAAACTATAGTTCGTTTCGGAAAAGCTGTATGCATCAACCATGTCTATTGCGCAAATTGCAGAGCTATGTGACTAATTCCCTATCGCGTGGAGTACACCAGGGAGATGTGCGGCTCCTCTGATATTCAACATCGTCAGCGAATTTCTTCTCAAAAACAGTGCTAAGTTAGGCAAAGACGACGGTCTAATTCAAGAGAAAAGGCACAGTTCAAAACATCCTCCAGATATCTTGCAGAACTACAGTATGCAGAAGAATTGTCGTCATACGTAGTACGAGGAGCCGGCTCTGTCACCTGAAGGCTTCGGTACACCTGCGAAAGCTGGTCTATATCTTAACGCCCAGAAGTACTAATAGACTACACGATACGGTTGATTTACTAGTGGAACAGAGAGAGGAAGCCGTGTTGGAATCCACAAATTTAAGTATCTCTGCTCTATTATTTCCAGCCATGGCTTCATCCAATCAGAGTCAAATAGAAGGCGCGAATAACGAGCCAATAAAATTTCATTCACAAAATATAATACCCAAAAGTAAAACAAATTTATGACCGTTTATAAAACGCGGCGTTTTTCATAATATACGCCCATGACTATATGCAGAGTCCAATAAAAAAACATGAATTGTTTTTGCTGTAACAGTGATAATGACAACTGTTCTAAAACCTATTAACATACAGTTGGCAACAAGTGAGACTCAAGAGGAAAAACAATTAATGGAATTACGAAGATATGCGTCGTTCAAGACACTGTGACAGCCAAGACGGTCCAAATCCGGATTCATTCGACCGTCGCTTTTACCATAACGACACCCGTCGGTGGAACGAAAAAGTAGATTGTAGAGTTCGGATACAACCTACCGTAAGAACGATTGGCGAATAAGTCTTCAACCAAATAACCGTCAGCTGAGGTCAAGCCAATTTCGTTCAGCTGGTTGACTTTAACCACCGCCTACAAGATTTACACGTATTAACGTGCAAGAAGAAGAACAAGAAGATAAAATGTACATACGTAGTTTCGCGTGTGGGTGTTGAAAAATGCGAATGCGTAAGAATACGCCTGCGTAGATTTTTGAATCGGAGTTACTGGCTTCCGGTATATACGAACGAAATCTTTCTAAGAATTGATACAACCAGAAAAATTAATAACAAGAAGTGCATTACAGTAGAAAATCACCACTAACTCCACATTCGATACAATCGAAAGCGAGTATTTTACACAAAAACGACAGATATTCCGAAGTTAAAGTTTTTTCTAAACCCTCAAGTAAACCTTCAATTTTCGTCTTATCCTACTGCACCGAAGAGAAGACGTCGGATACCCTACAACCATCATACCATGATCGAATATATGTTTGCTAACTGTTCAGTTCATTTGATGCAATTCGACTTCTGATGTGATCTTTCCGTCATGCAAGAGGTCTTCCTAGAATTCGCATGCTATCAGCTTTGACTTCAGTATTTGCTTTGCAAGGAGACCATCACCTGTTCGTTAGTAATGGTCCTACGTAGCCAATCACCTAATTAAGTTAAACATCGAAATCGCTCTCTTTCAAGTGCATTTGATGCAACAACGTTTCCTTTCATTCCTAATATCAATCATAAAATTTACATTTTCGCGTTTCAAGTTGTTGGTTTTTAACTTCTGTCCAAACTGAGGTGAAGATCAAGCTCTTGTATATCATGTTTCCTAAGAGTCTGCTTCCGTAGAAACATATTCCAAGATCTTACCGTATGAAATATCGCCTAATTTATTCGAGTATATCAAGGACGTAAGGTATCGAGATCAGAATATTACAAAAGTGGAGCAAGGTCAAATTTGGGGTGCATAAATACAAAATCAGCTAAATATTATATATCGGCAGCACATCCACGCGTTAACAACCAGGTTACGGAACGCAGAGAGCCATTAACTACCGCAACCCTCATCATTCTTATTTTGTTGCTTATTTCCAGGAGAACGGTCCTGACTTTAACAACAACGATGAAATGCACATACATATAAAAGATAACAGAAACGGGAACTGCAGTGGTTTCTTCGGCTCCACTGTTCCATTGATATTCCCGCGGGGTGGCACATAATTATTTGCTGGGCAAAAATTAGCGACCGGTCAAGTATTCTAGAGGTAGGGTAATGCATCACTTGACCCAGCAGTTTTTTGCTATTTTCTTCGTTCCCGGGCGATGATAGATATGAATTCAGTCGAAATGTTGGAACAGATGTACAGGAAAGTTTTCAAAGATTTTCGCACTGATAACCGTTGAATCACACTACCTATTAGCTTGAAGTCATCCGTGGCAGAGTTTCGGCGTATGCCTTAGAAAATATTCATAAATCAAAAGAACCAGACGAAAACTGATTATTCCTAGTAGCTTGAAAACTCCTTTGAGAATTATATGAAATGCCGTTTTCATTCAGTGACGCATATGACAATAATGTTCACTGCCACAATTTAAGCAATCTCACCTCAATCCTCACTGAATATGAAACATGATTACCTTATGCTGAATAAGGTCATATTTTTTGAAATGACACAAATGAGTAAACAACGTGAAACATTTTACTTTCGTACATTTTGCACCAAGTCCGTCATCACAGTTACAAATATGAAAGGTCAATCCGTGGAAAAAATCTATTTAAGTAAACGATTATGCGTGTTCCCAGTATGAGAACCTCTCCAACACTTTGCCACATAGTTCTGCTTCCTGTCACTTTCATCCATCTTAATTTAGTGAACTTCGGCTCATCCTGCTATCTATCTAGACGTATTGCTGCGGGTTATTTACGTTTTGCTGGAACCCAGTCAAATGTTTCGATTGTCGGTTCTACCAGTAACGCATTCTTCCAATCGCCACCAACTTAACGAATGAATACATTTCAGGGCTGGGGTACACGTTTCGCAATCACAGGTGGGCACTGAGATTACACACTGATCGAATACACTAGAGTTCAAGCGAAACAGCGGTTTTGCGAATAATTGTTTTCTGCCTTCCAAAAGTGGTGTATGCAACTCCTTTCTACTGCACATTCCCCATAGTCGGTTCGCCGTTACAGAGATAAGATGTCCCACGTAAACAATTCTTAAATATTCGTAAATAATATACTCATCATAAGAATAATTCAGCAAAAATTTTCATTCTAGGAGCACCAGTTATTTACCAGTTATACTGAAAAGAATCCGTTTACCTCCATGATCTTTTTGCCCATAATTCCAAGCGGATCCTGATTGATAGCGATCACTTTGCGATTTTGCAGGATTTCCTTCTGAGGTGGTGTGATGAAGCGCAGGTCGTTCGACATCAACAGCGGAGTCGACCAGATAGACCACAGTGCCATTTGCACCCGAGATTGATCAAGGGTGATTTCTCGGTTGCCGACTATAATCTGAAAAGTATAAAGTAAAAATACAGATATACAGATACACGTACAGACCTAATATGTAACATTTTTTAAACTTTACATTTACATTGCCAATTCTTAGTCACTATTGAGGGGGGAGTCAAAATGAACTGCGGCCAGAAAGCACACGCATTAAACAACACGACACGGACGTATGCCTCGCATGCTTTGGCATGATTACACTAAAGCACAATACTGTCCCTATCATTCAGAGGCAAAAAGGAGACCTGCGACCCATTTTTGGCTGATTGCACTGAACAACAGTTGGGTCAATTTTTTGTTCAAGGAAAGTAGCAGATAATAAGAGAACCTGACGACTTTAAACTGCGAAGCACATTATTAACCTATTACTCCAATGTCCCCTCCCAAGAAAAATATGCGTCTAATCGAAAAGAAACTTATTAGCTAGCGTTCACCATTCTTGTCTGCGAAATCAGCGAATATCACAGGAACACGGTCAAATTCTAGCCAAGCACGAACGCTGGAGTTAAAACCAACGCCGCTGCTACTGACACTCGCTCCATTTTGCTCTGCGAACAAACATCCGCCGCTTGAGAACAACCGATGCAAATTGCCGACTCATTACTCGCTGTGAATTTGAACACTTATCGTCACAACGACTGAAATCGTGCCATCTGTAAAACATCAGATGCCCCTAGCATATGTTCAGTGAATGACGGCATAAAATGGGACAGCTCGACAATACAAAATAAATCTTGTCACCAACCCACAAAGAAACCCTGGCCATTACGAGTGATTCGTCATAAGTAGTGTCTACGATAATAGGATTGAGAAGTACAAAGTCCCTGCGACTACATCAACTACTGAAAATCAAATACAGGCAGCAATGCGACTGCAGTCAAGAAGTTTTTACTGTGTTTGTTGATATCATCACCTTCCGCTGTATTCTCGACCATTCAACAATTTTGCTCCAACGAATCGGTTATTGTGTTCTAAAAACAGCGGCTATGCGTAAACAACTGCAAGACAACATTGCCCCTGTCCATATCAAAGATTAATGAGCCTGATAACCGGCTAATCGATGGATGAAGAATATGGAAGAGAACTCACGGTAGATGTTCAGGTATCATAACACCAGATAATCAAGTAACGGAATTCATCCGCTTATTCTACAGATAAGTTATTTGTTCCTTCGTCTTACACACGTGAACCGTAAAACGGCTGAAAATCTTCTAAACGGAAAGCAAATTGAGCATGATCAAAAAATAGCATACCATATCCGGATCGTTCCACCTGCCAGGACCATTCACCTTTGCCAATTCGTCCTGATGTTTGTCGTAATAGTCGATAATGCTCATAATTGATTGCCACGTCAAACGGATATCATCAAAGTTGCGCCAAAGATTGCAGGTTTCCGCAACGGCAGTATAGTTTATCTAAAAGACACAGAAAGACTGTAAACTTAAACACGTCGATGGACTAGATGAGCCTGAAAAATACAACTTTGGGCATGCTTCCAGCATGTCATTTCTGTGCAAAAGAATTTTTCAGTCAGGTAGGGTTTCTTAGGTTACTGAAGAAATCATGTGTCGTCTGGTATACCGTGATTTACGAATATATTTCATGTGTATGCGGTAGATTGTGAAGAGTGTCAGCTCCTGGAACATCATTCGTGATGAATACGGGATACTCTAGCGGACCAAATGGTGTTTACTGCATATGGCTATGCAAATGTCCTAATAGCATGGAATGGCGGGAAATTCGTCCATAAATAAATTTCCAAAAACATCTTTTTCTAGGTTCCGTCCTGCAACTAAAATGGACTAATCGAAAACGTCCACGTAGTTCAGAATCTCTCTGGAGAAATCTCTGTCATTCAGTTTCTGCCTTTAAAGAAGTAACTCCTGGCTGATGGCAGAGCAACGATGTGATCATCGCTGCAGCATAAGCTTCATGAAAAGAAGAATGTCACAAATCGCTCCCACCATGAATGTGCAACCGGCATCGACATCACAACGGCTAAAATCTTTCGTTGTTTCTCCTATGCTGAAAGGGCATATAAAATTGGTTAGCAGCGATGTTTCAAAGATAGCCAGTGCATTTTTTCTGAAAAGAAATACCAAGAAGAAACACTACCTGAATATCATTTAACTATCTACTTGAACAAAAGTTTGTAATTAATTGTTCAAAGAATAACAAATTAAAAAATGCTGTTTAACTTTTCTTTCAGTACATAACACAATGGCGCATATTCTTGTCTGTTTGTCCAGGAACATGTTTATCGGCTAGCTGCTTTAACGACAATAAGATAAATTCATACCTGGGTCAGGAATGAACCACTACTGGAGACGAGTAGCAGTAGTATTAACGACAGATGTGGTCGTCACCTACGGCTAACAACGCTTTAACAGCAGAGTAACCTAGATTTATGATGTCCGGCATCAGCAATGATGCCAGTGATGTCTTTTCAGTAACAGGTAACATTCGCCATTGCGGTAAAGGTCATAGTCCTCATCGCAAAGAGGTCACTTTAACGTCATGACTTTGAGTTTCACGTTGCTGTCCAACAGTCCTGCTGTTCAGGAGGTTTACAAAGCACATACAAGGTGTTCTTGAACGATTATGCTAACTACTGAATTAGAACACCACCGGAATAGAACCAAAAACACACAAAGAAGTGACTGCATTGTATAAGCTCAAGTTGCGCCATAAGCACGTGTAATGAAAAAGGTAGTTCAGCAATGAAATAACAAAGGAGAAAACGAATACTGTGTGTAAGAGTCTAGGCAGTGATGTTAAAACAAGATAGGCTCGCACAAAATCCGAACATCCTCAAATGAAAGGTTAATACTCTTTGGGCATGTTATAAATAAATAAATTTTCATTAAACCGGTTTCATAGGTGCCGACCCTGCATTATACTGGCTCACTCTTACATCAATAGAGGACCATTTAAGCAGGCACAAGCTCTGTGCTCTTAAGCGCCACCAGATGCATCGATGCAGTGCGCGTATTCAAAGATCATATAGCCGTGTCCGCTTAAATGCCCTTAAATATCAACATGCTTAGAAACATGGGGGTGGAACGAACGCGTCATTAAAGTAAGTCAGATTAATGCATGTGCTTATCTGCCAGACTACTTGCTCAATTCTAAGCGAATACCATCAGCAAAATCAATGAAGCTGTCTTTTAGAATATGTCACACACAACCTAACGTACACAATGTCATGTGTCTATGGGACGATAAAAAGACTTCATTATATTGTCGTTGGGCACACACATAAAGAACGATCCCAACCTCTGAGTCAACGTTTTTCAGATGACAAAACTGCCTTTTTGCGAAATTGAACGAGACTATTCAGTTGGTCAGCGTTAGACTAATAAGAGAGAGGTTCCGGATCTGACCCTTGAACTGGCAATTCATCTTTTTTTCATCTGAGGTTAATAAATGAGTATCACTTTGAAAATGAAATAGAAGATTACACGCTATGCATACCGCTGTGCAGCAGTTGACTATGCGGTTAACATATCTGAGTGATGGCACAGAGATGAAGATCAGCGCCCCATCATTAACTTTATGAAAAGAAAGGGGTCATAAATGGCTCCATACGAAAGTGTACAGAAGATCGACATTCTAAGGGCTAAAAATTTCCCCTTTATCTATTCCTTCTAGAATACAGTTGCATAAAAGACGTCGTCCATCTACCAAATACCATCACAATATAAACAAACACTCAGCAATAATTACAGAGGGTGGAGAAACTACATTACATCATTCTTTGCCTCGGCACACTCGAACTAACTTATTAGCAGCTCATGTCTGTAGCAGAATTCTTTTATGAAGCATACGTAACGAGAAAATCTCCGTTTCTCTGTCACCAGTCAGGCCTGTGTTACTGGTTTTCTTCATTTAAGGCAATACCGTATGTGACTGATTTGCAGTCTCCGATTTCTTTTCCACAAACCGGTGCTCATTTGTTTACGTAGATGAACAGCTAATGACTCGATGAGAATGAACCCATGGCTATTCGAATGTTAATCTGACGTGCTCCACAATCTGAACAACCCTTGTACCTCAGCCAAGCAGCCAAAGTTAGACTTAGGAACAACAATCAGAAACTAACCACAAGATAAATCAATCCCTGCAAAAAATTAGTATCAGGCGCATTAATTGACAAACCGTACCGGAATGCCATGCATCTGCTCATAAAAAGGCCAGCTACAGGAGTAGACTATTTTTCTGCCAGTCTCGTTCAAATACTGTCCTAATTCCGGGTAGCCTAAAACGAAATTTTCTGCAACGTATTCAATACAAAGTAAAAATTATTGAAACTGAAGCTGACCAGTCAATCATTCAACAGTATGAATTCGAATATGATTATTCAGCAAAGCTTGTAATCAGAACCACAAATTAACAGCTAAAATAACGATGCATTACAAATAGGTACAATACATTAATAGTGAATAAGATGCATCAGGTTCAACTATCCTAGAGATATGATCATAGCAAAAGGCTCCCTAACCATCTACGAGCAAAGGGACGGAGCCACAAGATATGCAACACGGTTTGGGGCAAATGACGCGGATTATATGAAATGCAAATTACAAACTTATACCGCTCAAAGATCAAACTCTCTTTAAAAGATGGAAACCGTACGTAAATTCAGGTACAAAATGCCGCTTAGACTAAAGTACGGCGAAGTTACTTTTTTCATCATTGAAGTCGTCAAGCAGATAACGAAAAAAAACACAACTGAAACTATGTCACATCGCTGTCGACTATATTTGCTTGATGGAAACTGTTTATGACACGAAATGATATTCCCCCTTGCCCACAATGCCTTAATCGTGGAACTAATATTTACAATGATGTGGCAAATAATGGATAGTTTCCAGCTTCCATCGCATACAACCTGGCATTAAAATTCAAGTTCATTTGCATAACTGTCTGCGAGGGTACGCGAGACAATTATTCGGCTCATTAAGAAAACCGGAAAACAAAAAAACTTAAAAACAACGCAGCTATGTATGAGTGAAAATTTTTCCTCCTAAAATCAAATACTTCCCACCCCTCCATGTACATTTTGTCGATGACCTGCAGCTCATGGTCTTCGGTTTGTAACTCTGAGCTGACTTTCCGTATGCTTTCAAAATTCAAATTGAGATATGGCTCTCTGATATTTGGTTTCGCTAACGCCGAGTTTGCGCTTACCAGCTGCACTAGATATCGTGGGTATTTTCACGTTTTCTGACAGGTACTTATAGCTATTATAACTGTTGAGGTGAGTGAACTCTACTGCCCATTATCCTGTCATCATGTCCACGTACAAGGCGGCTAAATGATGACTTTGAAGGAAAATGTATATTCTAGTTACATGT